ACTACTGATGTTTAAATATCTCAAAATGTCTGAAGAATTTTGGGTCCATTTTAAGGTAACTAGATCACTATGGGAGTAGTATTCACGCATCCCATAGGATATAGGTACCCTATAGATGATGCAAAAACGGTCTTCGATTTAAGATAAATTAAATTTCAGTACTAAAATCTGATCGTATACTAGATTTTAGATGATATATATTCTATTGATGAATAACTAATTATGTTAAAATTCACTAACCCTTAAATAATTTCTTAATTATTATGTCATGATAATTTAGTTTGAAAAGATATTAGCTTATGTTATAAATATTAAAGGTATAAAAAAAAATCATTGCCATTAAATTTAAGCCCATAGCTAAATTATATTTGGATGGGATGGTTTCATGTTCATCAGACTATAGAGTCATTAAAATATGTTATCATTAATCATTTTTTGTAATTTTCTATAATTTATAACCAAGAGAATATACATAGGCAATATACATATCTAGAATATATCATAGAATATACATATCTACATAGGCACTGATACATAATGAGCAATAACCTAGTTGATATAATTTAGTTATTAAAATTAGTTCATGAAAACTAGAACATTTTTTTTAAAAAAAATTAGCTAAATATTTGAAAACTAATTATAGTTGCATCAAGTTTCAAAAAAAAATAAATAAATTATTTTGGTTATAATTTTATAATAAAAAGAATGGGATTCAAATAGTTAAATTTATTTATTAAATTAATAACTATTTTAACAATAGCTGTTAAGTTTTATAAATGTTTTTCGAAAACTTAGTTTATATCTTGCAATGCACTAAGAATTGATGACCATAATTAATTGTTAAGATTCATCGTCCTACCTAAGTATATCAGAACTTAATTCAAACTTTTACTAATTTTAATTATTTTAAAAATCATGTCTATTAATTAAGTTATTACTTACTAATTAATAAATCTGAGTACTTCATATTATATTTTGTATAACATTTATTTTTACTATTTATTTTTAGTTTGTATATAATTATGTTAAATATTTTTCACTGTTGTTATTACAATATTATTATTATTATTATTATTATATATATATATATATATATGTGTGTGTATCTTACTATGTATGTAGTTGGGTCCAAACCCATTGAATTTTCTAATAAATAAATAATTATATTTTATGTACAAAAAAATGAGGCTATCAGTTAGCTTGATAAAATATCTATGCACAATAAATTGGTTGCTTGGAAAATTATATTTGTTTATTTTATGATTTTATGTTTTTAAACATTTATTTAAGAAAATATATATCTGTAAGGGTAAATTTTACAATAAGCATATGTGCATTCGTTTTTTTTCACAAGAATTTACATGAGTTTAAAAAACTACTTAACAATAGAACTTATGACAAGAGGGACTTAAATGCAGGACTTATTTGAACTTATATAATACTAAACTATTTATTTATTTTTTATTGCATTGTTGCTAGGTCTCTCCATCAGTTACTTTTTAACCTTCTTTAGGGGGTTTCCAGGTATGTTGATAGAATCAAGGGCAAGGATCGGATGGTTTTTTTTATGTGCTCTGCCCAGGGTTAAGTTACTGTATAATACATTTTTCTATAGCTGAAATTATGGCTTTAACAGAAATTCTTTAAAATCTTAAGTGCCCTGTGGTTTTAGAATTAAAGATAGCATATTTAATTTGCTTTAATATTTTTAACTACCACATTTTTTTTTATATTTCATTTAAAATTTACCTTTTTAAAAAAACATTGTAAATCAACAATGCCTTATAAAATTGACCATTATCCCTTGACACCTATTAACAAACCTACAGTAAAGTTATGGATTATAGTTCATAAACGGGTAAAATGTAATACTACTAACCTACATTTTAATAATTTACTTAATATTGATTATCTTATATAGGAATATCAAATTGGATAAGTCATCAACCTTAATTAGTGTTTTCAAGTATTGCATTCCTTTAAGTGATTTAAATTTAAATAAATAATTCATTTTTAGTTGTCTATTCAAATATATATTAATTATTTAAATAATTATATTATTTATAATTTTCTGATAAGTGTATGTTTAATCTTAATTGAGTTTTATAATATATTTCCATAGGCAATAGGTGTTAATTAAAAATTATTTAATTTCAGTAAGTATAAAATTAAATAAGTAAAACATATTTAATATTTTCTATGCCTTTTATTTGTAAATATATTTATATACATAATAGTATTATACTATATTTATATAGAATAAACGGTCTTTTATAATTACCAACGTTATAATTATTGCCAAAAAAAAAAAAAAGTTGTGGGAGGGATACATACAAATTGGCTCCGAAAATTAGGTAAATCTAAATCATTGAATTAACATCGAAAAGTCATATAGTTTATTTAAACTAAAGGTATTAAAATTTGGTGAAACTTTTCGAGTCATCATTTTGTGACTAATGAAAATAAATATCACATTTAGTGTTCTAAATATTGTCAATTTTGTATTTTCATCCAATACGTTCTACAATACATATTATAATTAAAATAACTTTCATTGTCAGTTAACTGGCGGGCAGTGAGTGAAAGACTGATTTTTTTAAGAAGATTTCTCTTTCAATTACAGTTATGATAATGTAAAATGTGTGCCTAATGTTTATAATTTAGCTTTTCCAAATGAAGTTTCAATGTATACGAAATAGTTAATTTCTGGAAGACAATTCAATTGTGCTGTTTAAGAGGTATTATAAATGCCTACTCATAACTGTTTATTTTCAATATTTGGTCTTTGGAAAAACTGCTACATTTTCAATTATATTTGTAAACATTTTATCAATAATTATTCTCAGAACTATACAGCATACTTTACTTAAATTTTATTTGTTTGTAGAACAGTGTGAAGAGAAGTAATGTTGTATAACAAGAAGTAAAACTAATATTTTGTTCTCCACAATATTTTTTCCTCAAACTAAAAATTACAGAATTTAAAATGTGAAGATAAGTCTTTGAAGATGTGAGTGAACACTGGTTTTGCAGTTTTCTAGCTAATAAGTACAATTATGTATGATCCTAAAGTAATGAGATCAATTAATAATTATTTTGGTTGAATATTTAATTTTTAAATACTTAATGATTAATTAGAATTAACGGACTTAACTAACATAAAAAAAAAATAAGTGTAAAAATTAAATAACATGTACTGTTAACATTATCAAAATCTAAATATTTAGACTTAAATTTATCCAAATAGGAGAAAGATAACTTCAAGTTTATTTATGTAGACTAGCGTAGTTAAACTGGTCAGGAGTGTTTTAAAAATTTTAATGTTTTAATGATAATTTCTTTTGTGATTTATAATCTTTAAACTGTTTTGTTGTACAAAGATATATTAAAATGTAATTAATTATTATATTAAGTAATGAAATTCTAAAATCAATAATTCATTATATAATATGGGTATGACACAAATAAATGACAGATTACTGATATATCAATAGAACAAGAAATGTACAATCTGGGCATAACTGTCCAAAGTCCACATAAACATAGAATGATCAATATAATCTCATTAATTAAATAAGTATTGTAAACAAAAAAATCCAGATAACAAATATAATTCAGATTATTGCTTATAAATGACATAAAACACAAATCCTGACACTATTCAATTTTTAATTTGTTAAAGACGTAATGAAACACTGATGCATGATTCTTCAATGAAAGGTAAGTTCATTAAATTTTTATAAAACATACTTATTATATTTAATAGATTTTATTTATTTAAATGAATTTAAATTAATATTAAAAATTAAATATTTAAATATAAGATGTGGGCACTGTGAATTGCTTCTAGTTGGTACTCATTATTAAACGATATCACTGGTGACAATTCATGAAGCATGCATTCTTAACTGATTAAATATTTTATTTAATTATTGATTTAAAACTTAGTATAGGTAAGTAGTTGTATACTTATAATTAGTTAATTAAATTATACTTTAAAATAGTATACATAAATGTTATTCTATTTGAAAAAATAGAAGCAATATTACAATTTTGTTATATTTAAGTTTTACAGTTTACAGTTGTTGTTAAAAACTTACAGGGAAAAAATACTTTTTTATATATACACCAAAAATTTATAACCAAAAATCAGTAAAATTCTGTAAGGCTAATTAAAAATCACTATATTCCTGAAATAAAAGTTCTAATAGGCCAAGACAATTAGTAAAATTTTAAGTAAAATATTTATAAGGGTTTTTATCTGATATGCTTTGGTTCATCGATAATTAATTAAATATTAGTCAGAAAGCATAACATTTATGAAAAAATATTTATAAAAAGTAAATAGAATTATAAAGCTATTAAAACATTTTATTATAAATACATTTTTAAATTTAAAAACTATGATTAAATATCAAAAATTGATATCAAGAAGAAAAGAAATTAGTTAGTTAAACACAATTTGATAACTTTAATTATTTTAAATTAGTTTTTGAGAAGTACTCACAAAAGCTGTTTAAGTGAAAGACTCATTAATTTTTAACAATATTGAACATTGCTAAACAGATCAACAAATCAACCTTTATCTTAACATAACAAAATAATGCATAAATTAACTTTTTGGAATATGCAGGTGCAGATATAAGGCTATAGGGACTTAAGTATTTTCAGTTAATGAATGATTGATAATCATGATTATAGTCATAAATTGACAGTTAACATATATTAATAATTTATTTATATTTATAATTTAGTTAGTATTTAGAACTAGATTAGATATTTATATACACCTGTACATTTTTCTAGTTTAAATTATAAATTATTAAAATTAATCAACCATTAAAAATAATAACTACAGAATAGAATAATAACAATCTAAAATATATACTACTAATTTTAGAAATTAAATTCAAAGTTAATTATTTAGTATACTTTCAAAATATGGCATAATTTTTTACTGCATAAAAATGTTTTACTAGTCTAATTTAGTTTTTACTTACTTTATTTGTGAGACAAGTTTGGAAATCTTTTTGAGCTTCAGATACGGACACACGATCATGTGGTCTCTTAGGCCCGCTAATAGATGGTACAACATCTCCTAAATCTAGAGTAGTAATTTGACTAAATACTGGATCTTGAGATGGGTCATCATAATTTCTTAGCATTTTGGTAGATTCTAAATATGCTTTAACAGCAGCAATTTTTTCATTGCTTCGATCTGAAATATAAAATGTGATTTAGTTATTTATACTTTAAAAGATCAATAGAAATATTATTAAGTTGTACAACATACTCCACTAAAAAAATTGTGAAACCCAGTATTTTTGAACACAAATGTGCACACATTAGCTCTTATAATAAATACTAATAGGCATAAATTATTTATTTATAAAAAGTAATAGTCAATCATTAGTTATTAAAAATATAAGTATAATATTACTGGAGTTTATATAATTTAATTTAAATATTTTTTTTTAATATAAATATTTATAGCTTTGGTTTTAAATAATTATACTATACATACTTGTTTGCTGAAGATAAGAAAGAGTGTTTTGGTCTACTGGAAAGAAACCTACTGTTGCTCCATATTCAGGGCACATGTTACTGATAGTTGCTCGATCAGCAATGGATAATTGAGTAACTCCAGGTCCAAAAAATTCAACAAACTTTCCTACTACGCCAATTTGTCTCAAATTCTAAAACATATTGTATATTACTTAGTTTAATTTTAAATAATATTTTAATTATTTCTGAATAATTGAATAATATTTCACCTTCGTAATTGTTAAAACTAAATCGGTAGATGTAGCAAATTGATTTAAAATTCCTGTTATCTTGTAGCCAAGAACCTGAGGAAGCAACATAGATATTGCTTGTCCCAACATAACAGCTTCAGCTTCAATACCTAAAAAGGTAAACATTTTATGTAATTTTACGAATTGATTTTAATTTTATTAAAATTAGCTATCTCTTACCTCCCACACCCCATCCTAGAACTCCTAATCCATTTATCATAGTTGTATGAGAATCTGTACCCACTAATGAATCTGGATATAATGTGTCTCCATCAGAAAACACAACACGGGCTAAATACTCTAAGTTAACTTGATGCACAATACCAGAGCCAGGGGGTACGATTAACATGTTCTTGAAGGCCTTAGCTCCCCACTAAAAATATATATTGGTAAATTATTTAGGTATTAATTAAATTTTTTATTTATTAAATTGTTTATATGAATTAGCTCATTTAATACCTTTAAAAATGTAAATCTTTCTTTATTTCTTTCAAATTCAAGATTTTCATTTTTCTGTTGAGCATCAGCTCTAAAACAATTTAACACTTCATTGATTATTATTTTACTTTAAAAACAGAAAAATGTATAAATATTACTCTCTGACAAAATCTGCTTGAACTGAATGATCAATTACTAAGTCAGAAGGACACACAGGATTAATTTTGATCGGATCACCTCCTAAACTTTTGACGGCGTCTCTCATAGCAGCAAAATCAACTACAGCCGGTACACCAGTAAAATCCTAATACATTAAAAATATAGTTAATTTAAAATTTGATATGTATACTTGATAATATATATTTACTTGTAAAATAACTCTAGCTGGTTTAAATGCAACTTCAACACCATCTTTGACATTTTGATTAATTTTCCATTTCAGAATATTTTGTACATCATTTTCAGTAACTTGAAAGTTATCACAGTTTCTAACAGCAGATTCTAAAAGTATTCTGACAGAAAATGGAAGTTGATCTAAAACATAAAAAAATACATAATTTTAGTAAAGTTCAACTAACATAATTGAATAAATATAAATATAAATAAGATTATTAACTGTTAAAGTATGATAAATATTACCATATTCAGGACCAAATTCAGGCAAATTGAAATAAAAATATTGTTTATTGTTAATATTAATTGTTTTCTTAAATTTTTCAAATGGATCTGCAACAATACAATAAATGGAAAAAACATATTTATATTTACATATGACTATTTTTGTTAAACTTAATTACATAATCATAATATTCAGTATAATAAGGGTCCATAGACCAACAGTTAAGAATTCCTGAACTATGAACAATACCAATTACATTTACATATATCTTTGACCTTAAAAGTAACACCTAGGTACTACATATCAATAATGCGTAAAGTAATGTAAATTATAACAGACATGATAATGTTTGCATTTAATTCAAAAAAAAAAAAAATAAGAATAAATATTAAAATATTAATCATTCATAGTTTACTATTAAAATTCATTATTTTTGTAATAGTTACCAGCATTTTAAACGGTGGGGTACTTTATATTTTAATCAATAATTTCAAGTGATTTTTGTAACATAACATTAAAATGTTTACCAACATACAGCTATAAACAGTTTGATTATTTTAGATAGTATAATGATTTATAAAATAATAAAATTAAAAAAATAATTTACAGGTTGAGAAAAATTAGCTGTAAGAAAATTATATTGAAAATATTAATCATTAAATTGATTAACTAGGTAAAAATAAATATTAAAAAGTAATTATTAATAACACTAAATAAATTCTAATATTATAATCAAGTGTTTCAGAGGTATAAAGTATAGTTAGGGTTAATGAAGTATACTGATCAGTAGATACTGAAAAGTAAAGTTACACATAATTTATTAAACCAAATATGGCAACTATTAGCTAGGCACGAATTCAGAGTAATTATTAGCAAAGAGAGAAGATTTTATATTGTGGGCATAATATAATATATAAAATTTAATAATTCTATAAATTATAAGTATTACCATTTACCAAAAATATTTCTTAACACTGCAAAGGAAAAATTTTCAACAAAAATTTAAAAAAAAATAGGTATATATAAAAGAAAATTTTTATTTAAGAACAATAAAAAAATATTAAATATGAAATAGGTTAGGTTAGGTTAGGTTAGAAAAAAAAATTATAAAAATTATAGAGCGAAATTAATTTTCTTTTGTTTTTGAAAACATGTCAATACATAGTTGCTACAGAAAACATATTATTTGTATCAATGTTTGACATGTAATATTTGTTTATTTTTTTTTGTTTTGTTTCATGACCTATATGGGAGGCCATCGCTCCCATGGCTCCCCCTCTGCTACTAGCCCTTGTGATATCAACCCTATAATATGAGTAATGATTACAGGAATAAATATTTTAATAAATATAATAAAATTAAAATGCATTCATCATTAAACATACATTAAACAAAAATAAAAATCTAATAAAAAAATGTAATAACATTTATAAATTCATAAAAATAAATTTTTTTATTTATTTGTAGGTTAATTTAATCTATAAAGGGAACAAAAATGAAACATTTTTTTATGAATTTTGGTTGCATAATACCCAATTTCTAAATAATTTATCATACTTCTTTTATTACAAAAAAAAAAAGTTTTGGTAAATAGACTGATAAAATTACATAACTTGTATGATAATTAATATTCACATTGAGTAAAAATGTAAAAATTGAGATGTGCTTCTCAACAACTGTGATGCGTAACATAGCATAATATAAACTCATATGTCAAAGTTTGTTACTATGTAACTATGTAAACTAAAAAATAATTAATAATTTCTATACTTAAAATTAAGAACAATTATTAATGATTTTTTACTTCAACAGTTTTTTCTTATGATATATATTTTAATTATACTTAAGAAAAATTATTTTTAGGCGGGCTTTTAGGTAATTAAATATTATTTTTTGTATGGTATTGTGAGATATCAAATAGGCATTTCCATGTTGTCATAATATAAAGGTTAAGAAAACACAAACACGAGCTATTATAGTAATACACATTATAGTAATAATATAATTGCTATACAATTTTATACTCTTATTATTTCTTATTTTTAGTATATCTAGATTGATTAATTTAATAATAAATAATAATATCAAAATTTATAATAAAAAACATTCTAGTACCAAAAACAATTAATCATTTTTTTTTAATTAAGAGTATATACTTCATATCTTCTTTCATCAAAGTTATTCCATACTTTTGAGAATAAATAATCTAGTACACAGTATAATATAATTTTAATTGGTTAAAATATATGTACTAAAATAAAATTATAATTTTTTATATTACAATGATTGTAATAGTAATTATATTCTAAAACATTTATTTTTCTTTAAGAATATTTAAAATTTCATTTTTTAGTATATAAAATAAAAATAAGTTGTAAATATAAATAAGTAAGTATGAATGTAAACAGTTCAAACAATTTAATATGTTTATAAATTCTAAAATAACAAGAAAGATATCGTTAAAAAAAAATTAATTTTACATTTCAATATATTTTTAAATTAAATCTTAAATAGAATAAATAATCAGAAATGTTAGATAGGATATTATAAAAGTTTTTTTAATAATAAATAAATTAATACAAATAAAATTGTGTGGTAAAAAGAAATAATTCTTTTACATAGGTACCATACATAATGAAAGTACTAGTTTTTTTTTTAATTTGTCTTTGTTCGTACATTACAGCAAGATCTGCTAATTATTTAATCATATAGTTTTATTATTTTGAGTACAAAATAATATTATATCTAATATAAAATGAATAGCATTTTTTTTTTTTTAAATACCTTATCCTGAATAGTAATTAAAATATTTAGAATTTAATCATGTCTGCACCAAACACAATTCTGATAACAATTTACTAACACAATTAAGGGACAATACAACATAATTGGTGTGTATATATGAAATAATGACTGTAATAAACAACATAAATACTAACAAACGCTTTGAATAATGTAAAAAAATTTAAATATATATGATGAGAAATAGATAGGTTAACTATTTATTGTCACAACTCAACGAAACTAACAAATGATTATCAATGAGATTAAAGAATTGCTTTTAAGTGTTTCCGAGAACTATGAACATATATGTTTAAAAATCGTACTTACGCGACATTTTTAAAACAGTTTTTACGATTTTTTCTATATTATATTTGAATGCAAATATATAGATATATATTCAGCAGGTGGCTGAAAAACTACGTGACAATGAAAAAACTAGTATTTAATATGCAAATACGCGTTGTTTAGTCACGAAACGTTAGAATAGAAATCGCCGATTTAAAAGGCTTGTCGACGGAATAGACCACTTTCATAAGTTATAAGATAATTGGCCATGCACAAACGGTGTAAAATCCACTGGTGTATTAACAATAATCACGGTTAATGTGATAAGGAGACGTGTCACGCGATATCAATATTGACCTTTCGGTCAGCTGTTTGTGTGTGATACTGCATACCATATTTTATAATATAATCACGGATAGTTTTGACACAGACTGTATGAATGTATACAGTATATATTGAAATATATTTAATCTGCATTTTTGTGAACTCTATTTTGACGCTCAAATAAGTCATTCAACGCGACGTCGTTCGCATATTTTTACTCTATGTATCGTATTAAAGGTTAGATTTAATCCTAACCTGACTGCGGCTTCACTTCATCCGAACCCATTACTCATATTTTGTTGTAAACGGTCAGCGTATTGCACTCCGTTATTAATGGAATAATATAAGACCGACCGTCCGTCTGGTAAACGACAGAAAAAAAGTATATTAAATTAATTGTACGACGTATGTTGCAATCGCCGTCCTTTCCGTTGAACTTCTCCCACTGGTTTATTCATCGTTTTCACAATATATCGAATGAGTTCTAAAACGAATCATTGATTAAGCGTTATATTACACGACCGTTATATTCGGGTCGCATCAATGGTACTTATTGTAATGTTGTTAATTCATCACATGCTTTTCGCTAGTGTTGAATGCCACGTTCAATTTCAGTCGGTTTTCCGTTTCAGATCGTGTTATAATAATATATAGATATAATCAGTGGTGTATTTTAAATCTTTTGTGTGGAGGGGGTTCAACAATTTTTTAAAAATAAGTGATTTTAATATATTTTAAAAATACATTTGTGGTATGAATTAATAATTATATTAATATACAAACATTACAACCACATGATATAAATTAATTTTTTCTTTCTCTGTACCTACCTTCGTAGCAAATAATTTATGACTTGAACTTTTTTCTTCTTCTGGGGGGGGGGGGGGGGTCCAGTACCGCAAAAACTGGATGTGTTGCGTGTGTCAAACATATGAGCCAATGTCCCCAGCCTATAATAGGGCTCAATTATTATATTTGAAAAATATGTAGAAATCAAGAAAATAAAACCATTTTGTAATAATTATTAATGGAGATTGAACAATAATAATTGATCAATTTTATTTTGTACACATTCTCGTACATCAACGTTTCTTTTGCGGCCTGTATATTCGAAATTCATAATAATTTGATTAAAATTAATTTAAGGTATGGTTTCCCTGTAGAGTCCGGATGCGATGGGGGAGCATTCATTTTATTTACCCACGGGCCTAAATTAGTGTAGTTGTGGGTAGTGGTGTACATAAAGGGGGGGTTTCCGGGTTCAAACCCCCCCTGGGCCAAAAAAAAAAAAAATTGTTTTATTATTGATGACGTGTAATATATTCATAGTTTCATTATTACGCTTTGAACTTAAAATATACAACTATACAAATATTATGATAAATAAATAATTATATTGATAGATGTTTGAAAAGTTTTGTTAACTATGCTGTTTTTATATTCCAATAGCTATTAATTTACTGTAATATAAAAGTAAGCTGTAGATTGGTAAAAATGTATAAAATTATATCTATTTATAGCAGTTATTTATCTTATTTATCTGTGTAACGAAAAAAAAAGATAACGATTATTTTTGTTAACCCCCCTCAGAGCAAGATTGAATTTACGCCACTGGTTGTTGCCCTGGGTAGGTCGAGAGGACTGTAACTCATTTACGTCCACATTTACCTTTTTTAAAACTCATTTGCTCACAAAAACACAACTCGTTTGTCCACAGCACGTCTATTTAATATGTATTACAAATTAATGCGTACAATAGTCCGTCGGTGAAACGAATTAGACGCCTCAAAATTGTACCTAAAAGCTGGTTTTATGGTTTTAATTTTTCACAATCTTGTGCGCCAACGAGTTGTCGTATTTTTAAAAAGTATATTAATATTTGCGTAAACGAGATTTCACCGTCGAGAGTGCTCGGGCATCTATTTAAATTCTCATATTCAGTAATCATTAGTAGGTCATACAATATATTTTTATTAACATGTTTCATGATATCTTTCTAAATATGTTCTAGATAGGTTCAGTTGTATTGTAAAAGTAGATAGGTTGATTAGGAAAAAAATAGTGAACGTAAAGAATGTTCATCATCGAATAATATGATTAAAATAAAGTGCTTATAATTTTAATTTGTGTGTTGAATCTTCGGTGATGATCATACAACGCGGTTACTACAGAACAATTTATTTTAATGTTGTTTATTTTGGATTTTTTTGTGTTACGTCTATGTATGCTAAAATGATCAACTTATACGACACTAGTATAATATATAATATATTCAATGATACATGGTATTCTGTTTATAAATTTTTTTTTAAGAAATAAAAGAAAAGATTAGATCCAAATAATCTATCAATTTTTGTTTTAATTACTACCACAAGTGAACAATGTAATACGATTTAGAAATTAAAGAAAGTAAAGCGGATTACTTTAGATGCTTATTATCCTGTATTGGATTATATAACTGAAAATACGAATTAACTGTTGCGTACATCCATATTACAGGATATATTCAATCAGCTATATTGTATAAAGAAAAAAAGAGAATTAAAAAAACAATTTATAGTATTTATAGAGATATTATTCTCAAACTATTTGCCAATAAACATCAATATATTATGTTGAATAAAAAAAAAAAGCCACGTTGGTAAACAATTATCTAAAACCGGACCACTAAATAAAAAAGTACAAATAATATCAATATTAGTCTAATTTAATTTATTTTGTTGCTCATTGTAGGTATACAATATACATGTAGGTCATGGGTGCAACTAGAGCCCAAATATTGGGAGTGCTGAAATTGCTGAAAACAAAATTAAATGTTATTTAACAGTAATTACTATAAATTATATAGATCTGAAAAAAAAACAGGAGTGCTACATTTGAACTCAGGGGTGCTAAAAACCCTATTGCGCCTCCCTAGTTGTGGCTATGATGTAAGTACAATTTACCTGGTACATATTGAATTTGTTTTTAAATATTTTATTGATTACTAAAAAGATTACAGATTGAGGTACACGCTGTAGGTACACATTAATTTTATCAGTATGCTATTTTATTTTAAGTGCATAGGTATATCGTGACATTTCTATATGAAAGGGTCGGAAATAAAATTAATTCATTAAAAAAAAACTCGTATTTTATAATAATTATATTTTAATTTAAAAAAAATTGTAACGGACCACATTGAATACTTTCGTGGACTACATGTGGTCCGTGAGTCACGGGTTTGGAACCACTGATTTAAAGGAAATATTTAAATATTTAAATTCAAATTTCTGACTTTTTGTCCATGGTGAATTAACAATTAAATGAAACTAAGGTACTATAGGATTTCTATAAAAGTACTATGATGACATTGGCAGATTTAGAAATTGTTCACGGGGGAGGGGGGAGGGGCATAGCCATATATATACAAATAGAATAAATGTATGTTAAGTTGTAGTTTTAGAACAAAGTTAAATTTTATAACAATTAAAAAAATAAAATAACATAATATTTTGATATTAAAAATGATTTAATTTTTATAATACAAAGTCAAGTTTTTGTTGTTTTCTTTAGAAACTTTGTTAATTATATTTCTTAGGTTACTTTCACTATCAATATTTATGTCCTTATGGATATATATAAGAGCCAACTAAGAAAATTTTTCATCTCCCATTCTTGCCCTTAACCAAATTTTAAGCAGCCTTAAAGGGGAAAACTTATTTTTGCTGTTGCGACGAAAATTGGCAATAACTAAAATTAAAAAAAATCATGTATTGGTAATATATTATGATATACATTCAATGCCGCGTTAAGCTATGTTGCCACCCCAGGGAAAATTAAAATATGCCGCCTTTAAGAAAATAATATTTGAACTGCCCATCACATACCATAAAATTTGCAGCCCCGGGGCAATTGCCCCCTTTGCCCCCGTTAAACGTGACTCTGTATGTGTTGAATAGTAATTTTGATTTAAATGATTTAATATCTCATGAGCAAAATTTATATTTTTAAACTCAGGATTAACTAATGAAGAACTATGGTTTTTTTTTCACAAAAATGACTAATACGATGTGTTATTCGATTTAACGATTTCCTGCAATGACGAAGATAACATTTCAATCATTTTTACTACAGTACACCGTATCATATTATTGACTGATACATGATACAACACAATTATATGATCATTAAAAAATAATTGAATATTTATTTTTTTCGCCACGTATGAAAAAAACAATTTGGGGGCTTTTTAAGATACCTTTACCCACCCCTTGAATCCGTACCTATCTCATGAAATGTTTCGTAGCTTTAAAAAGTTTAGTCTAGTTCATCGGTTACACCTCGCGTAAATACAGAAAAAAATGATCCAACTGCAAATTTTTTTGAAATACAACTGCTGATCATTAGTGGATATACCTTAGTTCTGAGGGGATATTTCAGATCAACAGTTTTAATGGACCTTCTCTTTATTTTATTGAAAATTTATTATCTGCTATAATCGGCCCAAAAAATATGCAAATTTAGTTAGTTTTAAAAACTTTCCATCGATATATCAATATAAAGTCTAAAATATTAAGTTGTTGACAAAATGTATAATGGTGACGAAAATCTCTAGGGAGGGGGTGATCAACCAGTCTACTAACTGCTAACTACTTATAACTACTAGTATTTAAAATATTGTTTTTTATTATTCAAATAAAAAATCAAGAACCAATTCACTGGTTAAGAAACTTTGTCTTAAAATATTATATAATATAACATTAAATTTAAATACTGCTTATTTATTATCAATTAATAAATTAAAATTAAAATATAGTCAAGGATGAGATATGTTATATTTTAAAAAGCAATAATTCGATTTTCATCTACTAAAATAATATTTGTATGATAAAACAATTAAAACTCCCAATCTTACTCATTGAAAATTATTAAAAATTATGATTATCACAATTATAAGTACATGCTGTATGTTTCTCTAATGAAAATATTATTATTAGAGATTGGAGTATTAAACTTACCAAGGATATTCTCAGAAGGGCAAATGAAGCAGTCTCCCCGATGACTTTTTTCTTTAAATTGTTATTATTTATTATTATTATTATTAACATAATAGAAAAATACATAAACGTGAATACATCTATGAATTTCGTCACGCAACTCCTCTATATAAAAGGGTCTAGGGACACCAATGAAGCTTACAGACGCAAACAAAAAGAGGCTGTTTAAATTATTTATACCCCCTCCCATAAAAACTAATGATTACATTACAATATAGTATATTGCACATTTTTAATTTCAGCTTTCTCAAATCTCAAAAAC